CTAGTACTAACTGGGACTAACTAGGACTAACTAGGGCTAACTAGTACTAACTAGGACCAACTAGTACTAACTGGGACTAACTAGGACTAACTAGGACTAACTAGGACTACACGCTGAAAACAACCTGGTCTTTGTGACTGCGACACAGGAACCTGCTGACGTCATCGTCTCACAGAAGAGTTTGTAGAGTAAAGAGCAGCGATACAGCAGACTGTGTGTGTTTACAGTTCAGATTGAAACTGTGCAGAGAATTCAGATTTTCACCGTGTGGCACATTCAAATCTTATGACTGAAGACTGAGTCCTGATGCTGTTAGCGAAGCAGTCAGAAGCAGGATATGCACGAGATCATGTGATATTTCACACACAGTGAGCTGGGTGATCAAACTTAAACTGGCTGCAGTCAGAAACAGCTCAGCCAGCAGGATCTTCACAACAAACTGCTCCCGAGGAATCTGGGCTGACGCTGCATGTGCACACTTAGAGCTACGCGTGGCCACATCTGTGGCAGATATAGACAAAAACGCAGGCTACCATGAGACCACACTGTAATGACTATGTAGAGCCTGGGCTTCAAATAAACTGCTGGGCTCTGTGGCACCATCTGCGTCTGCTATTCCTGTGCACACCAGCAGTGCCTGCCCTGTCCTGGCCCAAGCTGAACGTGGGCTGGAACAACTAAATGTCCCAGGGTGAGGGTATAGCACAGGGTGCTTTGAGGGGACAAACTGCAGTTACAGTCTTGGACTCTGACTGACAGAAAGACAAAAACCATACAGGATGGGTTTCATTTGCTTTTGTACTTCAACAAACAGATCACATTTTCACTTGTTCAATAAAGGACAAAGTGCTGGAGTTTAAGACTCAGTTAACAAATGACAAACAAATGCATTCGTTGCTTTGTCAGATCATCACAGACTCACCAGCTCTGCAGACACGTAGCAGCTCCTCGGCATCTACAGGATCCTTCAGTGCATCCAGCATACGTGAGCACAGGAAGCCTGAAAACAACGACAAACGCAGCTGTTTCTATTTGTACTGACATCTGAACAAACGCATCTGACATCACATCTACAATAAGCCCGTGTGATCGGCTACGAAGGGTTCGTAATCTTCAGACTGAAGTTTGAGAGAACAGGATCATCCGCTGACACACTTCAGCTAAATAACAACAGCATTAACATGACCTTCCAGTAATGACCTAAATCCTCCTAAATGGAGCACCCCCCCCCCATAATCTCTGCTCAGTGCTCCACACACAGTGCGATGCTGCCCCTCTACAGGACGCTGGCTCAGCACAGTCAAACTGGTGAAGCTCCACATCAGGCCTGCTGCACACGTGTCAGTGATCATTAGGACGTGATGAAGGAAGCAGCTGGTGATGATGACTTTATAGAAGGAGCCTTCGCTCTACACGTTCAGCTCATAGAGACGTGTGGAGGTGTGTGCTGACGACCACGGTTACTCGTTATGTACGTGGGAAAGTCACACATTGTTCTCACTGTATGTTTCATTCATCCTTAAAGACACTGGTCAGCCATCTTGGTAATGCCAATGGGCATCTATACATCAGCTGAGCAGCCCCATCACATCTAAAGAGCCACAACAGTAACGTCACTGGTACATAAATGATAAGAGCTGCTTATAAAGTTAAACTATGTCCCAGCGCTTCAGCTCTCCATCAGCTGGGAGCTGAAGTGTGAGTGTCGTTTCCCCGCTCGTCTTAAACTCTCTCCACGCTACGTGATTCTTGCGTAGGTGGTAGAGGTTTGTCATGTTTCAGTGGAGGCGGGGCCACTGTGCAGGTTCTGGTCCGTGTCAGACGTTTCATAACCAAACCACGTCCACGCTACAGAGGCAGCCCCTCGTTTAGGAGTCTTGGATGTGACTGGTCCTTCTGTTTGGAGCTAACTGGTTCTGCCTCGTCTTCACTGGTCATGCTGGGATCCTGTGCCTGCATCCACGTGTCGACCAAACCATGAACACATATTGCTGTAAGCAGTTTATTTTGTGACACCAGGAAAAAGTATATTTGATCGTCATATCACACAGCCCGAGGCAGGAACACTCCACACCTCACAATAAATATAGCACGAGGATGTTTAGAGGAAGCTAGAAGCAGCTGGAAGTGGCTGCTGTTGTGAACTGGTGCCTTATAAACAAAACTGAAATCCAGTCTGGGATCATTATTGAATCTGACAGTGTTTTTCTAAGCTCCAGACGATTACACTAAGACTTGGACGGATCAATAAGCTACTTTCTAATTAAACTGCTCAGAACATTTACAAAACAGCTGATATTACTCTTCATCAGAGACTCCAGTGAGACTCCAGTGAGGCTTCAGAGGAGAAATGTGCTCGTTATGGAGTCGAGCTCAGTATTATTCAGACTGTTGGTTGAAGCATTGTTTCTGCCCATCTATAGTTTGGCAACAGGATTAGTTGGTTGTGTGTTCCAGGCTGACCTACATGCTTCACCCACCCCCACAGCCCACTCTTCGTCCTGGCACCATATGGCCAAAGATTAGAAACAGCCTCATTTCAGTGGATCTAAAGTGCCACATTGTTACTACAGGAGTAGTAACACAGTGTCACTGTAATCTGGAGCACACGCAGCTATGACACTGACTGTCTTCCAGGATACCCATAATTCAGTGCTGCTCTGTGTGGTCTGCCAGCTCAGGTTCTTCATCGGGCACTTCACTCATATATTAAATAGTTAGTCTGTGCACACATGGACCTGAAGTCTGTTGTTCTCCACTGCTGTTATATTGTTGGAAATGTCATATTAAAATAAACAGAGGCCAGAGGTCGCAGGGGCAGCAGTCCACACATGCTAGACCACCTCCTGCACCTGGGAACCAAGGCGTTCCCAAACCAGCGGCAAGACATCCTCTCCCATGCTCAGAACACCTTAACTGGCTTCTTTAATGAGGAGCAGCTCGACTCTGAGCTCCTCCTGAAGTTCTTCAACCTACCTCTAAGGGAGACCCAGCAACAACAGCAGTCACCTCAAGGTGATTTATACTGTAAGGTAGACCCTACAAAAACCCCAACAACCATATGGCCTCCTATGAGCAAGCCACCCACTACCCAGTGGCCATACGTGATGGCAGGAACACAGCAAGTAAACTTACAGGTTCCCTCTGCACGTTCTTCAGTAGGCTGGTAGAACATCTGCATCACTGCAGGTGCTAACAACACCCCAACATACTTAAACTCCCCTCGAGGCAGCGGCTTGCACAGAATGGCCACAGCATAGACGAGGCATCTGCTCCCCCCAAACCCAAGCAGCCACAGAAACAATCACTGCATGTCGCGTATTCACAGACTAGTGAGGAGGAAGCAACACAACAAGTGTCAACACTTCAGGGTGAGCCGAGGCCGAAATAATCAACACAACAAAGCTCTGACGCCCACACACGGAGAAAGAACCACGACAGTCTCAGCTGCTTGTCCTATTCAGAGACAGCAGAAGACGACTCACCCCTACCCACGCCACTTCCTCCTGTGACAACGCGCCTCAGCCGGCTTCAGGGGAAGCTGTGAACCTCTCAGCGCTCCAGGCAGGCCTGTCCTCCAGCCGATAGTCGATATATTCGTCCAATCGCCCAACTTAGTGTAGCTTCCCCTGGTTTAACTAGTGTTATTCTGGTCATTAAGGTCGACTGTGTACAACAGTCTATCAGCCTCTTCATGTAAACACTTCCTGGGTCTCGTTTCAGGAGCTTGTAAGTATTTTACTCAGTGCGCAGTGACAAAATGTTCTCATGACAGTCTTTCTGGTTTAAACTGTGCACCTACCCTCGTCTGCTGATGGATGATGATGATGTCATTATTAAGGGATGTGAGAGCCTTCCTCTCCTCCATGCTGATGTTGGATGCTGGGGGCTTTGCATCGCTGAGACAGGCCCACGTTTGTCTCTGCGTCGCAGCAACATTCAGCCCTTTGGCGAGGATGTTTTTCTCTGCTTGGCTGAGCCATTTTTCACCCACTTGTCCACATCCTCGGTGTGGCATCCTTATCCTTTCTGCCCACTGAGGACGCTCTTTTTAATGCACAACAAGTAGGTCAAACTTCCTTTGCTGCCTGGTCTTTTCATGCTGTGCACGACGAGGCCTCAGAGAATTCAAACACCTTTTAAAGAGTACTCTCATAGAAGCATAGTAAGCATACCCAGTATTACAATCACTTTATGAACTAACAGAAGGACTTTAAAGGCGTGTTGAACTGGGAACCAATAGAGCATCTCAGTGGTTTGGCCCCCTGGTACATCTCTGACTTGCTCACTGACTATAACCTGGTTAGTCTTCCCAGAATCAGTCAGTGTGCTGAGGAGGCTTCAGCTCCTGTGGGCCTGTTCACAGCTGCCTGCTGACCCGAGGTCAGTTATAACTGTGGCTGAAATCAAAAACAGACTCAAGTCCTTTTTTATTCTCACATGCCTGTACGTAATAACTGTGTGTGTCTGTGTGTGTTAACTTATGAGTAATAACATATAAAACAAAAACCGACACTGACATTCAGTCAGCTGTAGTTCCCTTTCTTATGTTTTAGCTTCAGCTCTGTAATAAAGCACACAGCACAGGACGCAGTGTGTTTGGCTAGACTGGAACATGCGGGGATTACAGATATTTATTGTTTCAGGCCTCGCTGAGCTGCTGTCAGCAGTTTATGTGAGCTGTGTGGGGCCCGAGCAGAGCAGGCTGCGTCTGTGCACAACTACAGACATATTAACCTCCTGCATTCAAACAAAAAGCCTTCTATGCACAACACTCTGACAAAATGCTTCAAATTGTTACAAAGTTATGAACATAAACTATGACATGTATATAGTATGTATGTAGTATAGTTGACACGGACGGGCAGGAGAAAGAAAATGTCTCTGTTTATGTCCAGAGCCCAGACGTGAAGCTAACTGAACATCCCTGAGAGACCTGACAACAACTGCACTGATGCTCTTCACCCACCCTGATGGAGGCTGAGAGGTGCTACAAAGATAAATGGGAGAGACTGCTCAAAGATAAGCGTGCCGAGCTTGAAGCATCATCCTCGAAAAGACTTAAAGCTGCAACTGAAGCCTCATCTACACGTCATCTTTAAATATGATTTTTAATAAATGTGCAAGAATTTCAAGCAAACCTTCTTCACTTTGTGACTATGGGACTGTATCGAATATTCGAGTAAAAAGTTTAATGTAATTATGGATTAACTGTTAATGAGCTGCATGATACTGCCACATAATAAAACTGAAACATGTTTTTTCAGGGATGTTGCATCTTTTGCATTCTAAGCAGCTGCTTGTAGCCTGTGTATCCACATCAGTAATATGTCATATGAAAGGAAGTATCCATATTTCCTTACATATCAGCAGCTGCTGGTGTC